CAGTTACATCATGTAATACATGTACAAGAGATTATCATGCAAATTTAAATTGATAAGTAGAGAGTGAGCTTACAAAGTACACAGGTAGTTTTCCATATCAGACATTGATTTCTCTACGTTTTCTCATAGCACAATATAAATACTTTCCTATAGATCACATAATTCTTTTACATTCTTAGTACTCAATAATTTTGTTATCTTAAAAACATTACCATTTGAGTGCAACATCTCAATGGCACTTTTTTTAGAATCACTTGTACCAGTAGGTACCTGGCATTAAGTACTATGAAGTATCCTCAAATAAATGACCTTGACCTACTTTCAAGGTCACAAGATTTAACATTGTAAAAAAATCCTTTAAACAGAACCTTCTGAATAACCAAGAGGCCTAGAACAATGCTACTAGGGAAGTAGGTACCTGGGACAGAGTGCTGTAGGTTTTCCTCAAATAAATGACCTTGACCCACTTTCAAGGTCACAGGGGTCAAATATGTGAACACTTCTTCAACAATACCAGAAAGCCCTTGGTGATGATATTTGACCAGTAGCATGCTGGGATAGAGAAGTATAAAGTTTCACACCGACATTGTTTATTTTGTCCACAGACACATCAGAAATATTGGTTCTATTTCTGGAAACGATTCTACTGTACATGACGTGATGTATTTTACAATAAGTCAATATTGGATTAATAGATTAATATTTACATCTCTCCCATCTTCAGCTTAGTTAACTGGAATCAGCTTGTCTGTCTGTCTGTCAAAATTTTGTCCAGACAACTCCTTCTAAAGTAACTCATTCTGACCCTTTTTACAAAGTTATGGCCCTTAGTTGAAAAAAATCTTTCTCTGAATAACTCCTCTAAAACTATGGGGCCAATAAAATGGGGGGGGGGGGCATACAGTGTTACCCATGTCAGTCCTGTCCCGTCGCGTCGCGTCCCGTCCCGTCCCGTCCGGTCCCGTCCCGTCCCGATTCAATGTAAATACTTATATTAGCAACTTCATTCTTTGACAGATTTTGGTCAAACTTTATACAAAGGTCAAGTATGAGTATACTTCGGACATCGTTGTATTTCAGGTATCCAAGGTCAAGGCCAAGGTCACACTTGCTATATATAGAAAATCATCCATTCCCGTCCGTCCCGATTCAATGTAAACACTTAGCAACTTCATTCTTTGACAGATTTTGGTCAAACTTTATACAAAGGTCAAGTATGGGTATACTTCGGACATCGTTGTATTTCAGGGATCCAAGGTCAAGGCCAAGGTCACACTTGCTTTATATAGAAAATCATCTACTGATTCAATTTAAACACTTCATTCAATATGTTATGGAGATGGTAATAACATACAGAAAAAAACCATGAATAATGAAATCAACTTTAAGTGTAGTACCTTGTGTGTGTGCACGTTTCAGGGTATCAAGATCAAAGTCGTTGTTTATAGAACACTGAAACTAATTTCACATGGCAGCGGGGGCATTTATGTCTTACAGACATTTTCTAGTTTTCATTCTGACTCTTTTTACGGAGTTATGGTCCTTTGTTGAAAAATCCTCGTCCTGTTTCAACTTCTCCTAATCTACTCGGCCAATTTCAAAGAAAGTTAAAAGATATGGTAACTGCCCCCTGAGTTGTGGCCCTTTCTTGAATAAATCTTTGTCTGCGTACTGGGCCGATTTCAATGAAAGTTTACAGATATTGTAATTATCAACTGAAGTCGTGCATCAGGCTTGTATTTTTTTTCCATTTCGACCCTTTTTAAGGAGTATTGGCCCTTTGGTAAAATTCTTTGTCCTGACATCTCTTCCTTAACTCATAGGACAATTTCAGCAAAACTGATTCATCTTGGCTAACAAGATTTGGTATGTAAGTATGTTTTGGCATGGGGAGGGAGTACAGGAAGTGTGTCAGTGACCTGTATACTTATATAAGTGTAGTACATCTCAGTAAATAAAGAAATTGTTATTGGTGGGAGACTATGGATAGCTTTGCAATGCTTTGCTTTAGTAAGCCTTTAGCTTTATATTTCTGGTTTATATAGGAGCGGGGGTATTAGTTAGCCTTTACCTTACAGTTCTGGTTTATATATGTTTCACCTTTCACCAGTAAAATAAATCTCTGTTCGCCCTGTATATATTTCACCCTTCACCAGTAAAATCCCTGTTTGCCCAGTATGTATTTCACCCTTCACCAGTAAAATCCCTGTTAGCCCAGTATATATTTCACCCTTCACTAGTAAAATCCCTGTTTGCTCAGTATATATTTCACTCTTCACTAGAAAAATCCCTGTTTGCCCAGTATATATTTCACTATTCACCAGTAAAATCCCTGTTCGCCCAGTATATATATCACCCTTCACCAGTAAAATCCCTGATCGCCCAGTATATATTTCGCCCTTCGCCAGTAAAATCCCTGTTCGCCCAGTATATATATCACCCTGCACCAGTAAAATCCCTGTTTGCCCAGTATATATTTCCCCCTTCACCAGTAAAATCCCTGTTTGCCCAGTATATATTTCACCCTTCACCAGTGAAATCTCTGTTCGCCCAGTATATATTTCACCCTTCCCCAGTAAAATCCCTGATCGCCCAGTATATACTTCACCCTTCACCAGTAAAATCCCTGTTCTCCCAGTATATATTTCACCCTTCACCAGTAAAACCCCTGTTAGCCCAGTATATATTTCACCCTTCACCAGTGAAATCCCTGGTTGCCCAGTATATATTTCACTCTTCACCAGCAAAATCCCTGTAAGCCCAGTATATATTTCACCCTTCACCAGTAAAACCCCTGTTAGCCCAGTATATATTTCACCCTTCCCCAGTAAAATCCCTGTTCGCCCAGTATATATATCACCCTGCACCAGTAAAATCCCTGTTTGCCCAGTATATAATTCACTCTTCACCAGTAAAATCCCTGTTTGCCCAGTATGTATTTCACCCTTCACCAGTAAAATCCCTGTTCGCCAAGTATATATTTCACGCTTCACCAGTAAAATCCCTGTTCGCCCAGTATATATTTCCCCCTTCACCAGTAAAATCCCTGTTCACCGTGTATATATTTCACCCTTCAACAGCAAAATCCCTGTTCGCCCACTATATATTTCACCCTTCGCCAGTAAAATCCCTGTTCGCCCAGTATATATATCACCCTGCACCAGTAAAATCCCTGTTTGCCCAGTATATAATTCACTCTTCACCAGTAAAATCCCTGTTCGCCCAGTATATATATCACCCTTCACCAGTAAAATCCCTGATCGCCCAGTATATACTTCACCCTTCACCAGTAAAATCCCTGATCGCCCAGTATATATTTCACCATTCACCAGTAAAACCCTGATCGCCCAGTATATATTTCACCCTTAACCAGTAAAATCCCTGTTCGCCCAGTATATATATCACCCTGCACCAGTAAAATCCCTGTTTGCCCAGTATGTATTTCACCCTTCACCAGTAAAATCCCTGTTTGGCCAGTATATATTTCTCCCTTCACCAGTAAAATCCCTGTTTGCCCAGTATATAATTCACTCTTCACCAGTAAAATCCCTGTTTGCCCAGTATATAATTCACTCTTCACCAGTAAAATCCCTGTTCGCCCAGTATATATTTCCCCCTTCACCAGTAAAATCCCTGTTCACCCAGTATATATTTCTCCCTTCACCAGTAAAATCCCTGTTTGGCCAGTATATATTTCACCCTTCACCAGTAAAATCTCTGTTTGCCCAGTATATATTTCACCCTTCACCAGTGAAATCTCTGTTAGCCCAGGATATATTTCACCCTTCACCAGTGAAATCTCTGTTCGCCCAGTATATATTTCACCCTTCCCCAGTAAAATCCCTGTTCGCCCAGTATATATTTCGCCCAGTATATATTTCACCCTTCACCAATAAAATCCCTGTTCGCCCAGTATATATTTCACCCTTCACCAGTAAAATCCCTGTTCGCCCAGTATATATATCACCCTGCACCAGTAAAATCCCTGTTTGCCCAGTATATATTTCACCCTTCACCAGTAAAATCCCTGTTCGCCCAGTATATATTTCACCCTTTACATGTAATTATTACACAGTGTATGTTGGGTACTAATATTCCTTGTCATGATAAATTCGCCCTCATCAGCAGCAAAAAAGGTGAAAATTTCCCGGCATTCAGTATTTTATGAAATACTGTCAAATCTGCTGTACCAAAAGGATTATAAAAAGATATTTCAAATGTAGCTATGGGCTGAATGATTCAAGATAAATTGTTCAAATCAAACCCCAATCAAGCTATCCAAACGGTTCGACATTCAGTGTAAGTAGTTACATGTAGATATATAGGGCTTCAGAATCTCAAATTCATAAGACTACCATTGAGACTAGATATTCTATTATTACATTATGGTATGTATTTATATTTTAGATTGAATAAAAACCTTACAAACATGAATGGGGCCAATACAAGGTGTCCAACATGAATGGGGCACATACAAGGTGTCAAACATGAATGGGGCCAGTACAAGGTGTCAAACATGAATGGGGCCAGTACAAGGTGTCAAACATGAATGGGGCCATTACAAGGTGTCAAACATGAATGGGGCCATTAGCAGGTGTCAAACATGAATGGGGCCATTACAAGGTGTCAAACATGAATGGGGCGGGGCCAATACAAGATGTCAAACATGAATGGGGCCATTACAAGGTGTCAAACATGGATGGGGCCAATACAAGGTGTCAAACATGAATGGGGCCAGTACAAGGTGTCAAACATGAATGGGGCCAATACAAGGTGTCAAACATGAATGGGGCCATTACAAGGTGTCAAACACGAATGGGGCCATTACAAGGTGTCAAAGAAATGAGACCTTGTAGATGATTGCTTTAGCATAAGGCAAACAACCTGAAATTGATTCTCGTTCCCTCACACTCACGGAGAATCCTTCAGTAAATGTTGTATTTCATAATAACTTGTTAGGGATCATGTATAGATATTTACTGACTTCCTGCTTGTTTCAGGAATCACAAGAGCGTTTGGGAATAGAAAAGGAATATTTACACGACAGCGGAGACCGAAGACGTCAGCTCACCTGCTGCGATCTAGATACCAGGCCATGATCAACAACACGTCGACTGTAAGGAATCGCCACACAGGCAGATAGTAGCTGTTGGATTATCTCCCTTGGTTGGTGAAAGGGCTGCTTCCATTTATCGTGTTCAACATCATATGACCGACTGGAACAGAGTCATTTGTTTATGACAAAGGAACAAATCCAGTGGCCTGACGTTGATTTCAGAAAAGTTTTAATGTCTGCAAGACCTTCTTATTCAGTGTCCAGTGTGGTCAGATCAATCAGCCGAACCGCATACATGAGAAGTGAAGGAGAGGAAGACCCGATGTTCTGGATGAGTAAGCATCTTCGACAACATTCACCATGTAAATCTAGGTCAAATCCAGGTCACGTCACATCCTCACATTGAGAGCTCGGGTAGTGACAACAAAATCTACAAATCACACAAAGAAATAATCTATTTCCCAGTGAAATCATGACGAATTGAGGGAATCTGATCATGAAAGTTCACACTAGCTTAAGTAGGCGAGCTGGGATTTCTGGTCACTGAAAGTTCAAAAGTGTCGGAATCTCGAAGTTATGAAATAAATTTCTATGTATGTATTACCATTAAAGTTTTAGTTAACTTGTATTGAACAACAAATGTTTGATAACTGACAACAAGGAACGATACAGAGAGATCAAATCTAGACTGAAGGATTGTGTTACCAGTACAGTATACAGCCCTGTGATTGATGTTCAAGTTTCCTCCCTCTGTGAGATTTTCTACCTTACATGTCACATTATACCTGCAATTGATACAGTAAGATGCCTTAAGGCTATTCTTTTCTTACACATTATACCTATGATTTTTTCTTTAAGCTTGATATCGTTATATTACATATTGCCTATATCGGCGGGCAGACTTTTGATATTTTTTTACTTCCAGTGTACTTGTAGCGGAAATTTGTGTGGTACATATAAACATAATTATAGAGGTATTGCTGATCTTTTGGCAGCCGAAGGGTAAAATGATCTCTTGTGTACACATCAAACAAATCATTATAAACATTTGTATATAGACCAGCTGTATGTGGACCAAGGTAGACAATATCAAAATGGCTAAATTAGGCTACAGGCCAATTATCAATACCCTGGGCCTTTTGGTTATTAAAGAGGATTGATTAAAACAGTTTTTAAACATATTTGATCCCTATGACCTTGAAAGCTACCAAGGTCATATACATTCATTTGAACAATCTTTGTAGCCTGGCCTTCAACCCAGACTGCTACTAGCTAGTTATTATCACCCTGTGACTTTTGGTTAATGAGAAGATGTTGTTGAAAAGATTTGTTTAACATTTGACCTCTGTGGCATTGAAAGTGGTCAAGGTCATATAACTGAACAAACTTGGTAGCCCTTCACCCCAATATATGCTATTAGCCAAAATCACCACTCTTTGCCTTTTGTTATTTAGTAGATTTTTTGATATTTAGAAGCTGCCTTTTAATCATTTAACATATTTGACTCCTCTGACCTTGAAGATAAGTCCAAGACATTCATTTGAACAACAGTAGCATGTGTTCACCCCAATTTGCTGCTGCACAGGCCAGATATCATCACCCTGGAACTTTTTAGGTTTTGTTTTAAACATTTGACCCCAATGACCTTGAAAGTGGGTCAATGTCATTGATCATTACACCCTTTGTAGCCCTCAATCCCAGCATGCTATTAGCAAACTATAATCACCTTAGGCTTACTGGTTATTGGGAAAAAATTGTTAAGTTAGAAATGAAAACAAAGAAAAAAGGAACTATGGAAGATGCACTAAGACATGCATTATAGCTTTATCCTACCCAGGGAAGGACACCAGTTCTTCACTGATTTACTTCCCAGCATCATTTATACAGCTTTAATTGGTAGACTGGAAAAATCAACAATATACAGCTGTTTGAACCTCTGTTCTATGATCAGGTATAATACAATCAGGGTTTTCTCTGAATTCTTAAGATATTTATTTTTATATAAGCCCCTTTTAATCATTTCTCCACAGCTACTCTGCTTCCTTAAAAGCTGATTTTATCACAGTCAACAAGTTTTTCACAAAACAAAAATAGGAAGTTCACCTCACAGAGATAGCTGTCCACATACAACAGTTGTCCTCTGTCAGCAGTAGATAAAGTCAGCTCTTCAGTCGCGTACTTAATAATACGAAACAGCTGAAGGGGGATAATGTGGTTCTTAACTAGCGATACAAGTATAAACCCTGGTAAAACATTTCATTACGAAACCTATTTGTATCACTTACAGTACAACTTTACCTGACATTTTTCTGTGTACTTACAGTACAACTTTACGTGACATTTGTCTGTGTACTTACAGTACAACTTTACGTGACATTTGTCTGTGTACTTACAGTCCAACTTTACGTGACATTTTTCTGTGTACTTACAGTCCAACTTTACGTGACATTTTTCTGTGTGTGTACTTACAGTACAACTTTACCTGACATTTGTCTGTGTACTTACATTACAACTTTACGTGACATTTGTCTGTGTACTTACAGTACAACATTACGTGACATTTGTCTGTGTACTTACAGTACAACTTTACGTGACATTTTTCTGTGTACTTACAGTCCAACTTTACGTGACATTTTTCTGTGTACTTACAGTACAACTTTACGGGACACTTGTCTGTGTAGGACATTTGTCTGTGTACTTACAGTACAACTTTACGTGACATTTGTCTGTGTACTTACAGTACAACTTTACGGGACACTTGTCTGTGTACTTACAGTACAACTTTACGTGACATTCCCCTATTCATAACAATGTTATGACGTTACGTCGACAATACAATGACATCACGTCAACAATCCATCAACGTCACGCCAACCCTGAATTATAACTTAACTGTAACGTTAACATTACATTATGTATATGATACATAATGGTTGAACAGGGTAAGAGAAAAAGAATCATTCACCCCCTTGAAGGTGATATAGGGAAATCTCAACCCTCGGGGAAAGATTTTTAAGTTGCCAAACACTCTGCAAAGCCTAGTATTTGGCAACTTGAGAATCTTCCCCGAGGATTGAGATTCCCTTATCTCACCCCCAAGGGGGTGAGGGATTCTATTAATCTAGACTACATGCCATTGTGTATGATGTTTTATGACTTGCCAGGTACACTCGAATTCTATTACAGAGTATCTAAGTTTATTGTTTAAATATGAACCATCTCATTAAAATGTGTTTATTATAAATTATATTCAACAAGGTTTGATTGATTAAATGATGCTGGAATTTAAAATTGAATTTATTGTTATTTTCTGCGTTTTTTGTTTTGTTTACCCTCAAAGTGATAGTCATGTTGTCGTTGTTTTGTCCACCTTTGTTTTAGAATTTTGGGAAAGGAAAATCAATGAACATTAATTTGAAACATTTTTTTCATCTGTTTTCCAGTTTTAAGGCACGCATTCTATGTTTCTTTATTTTGAAGGAAGACTCTTGCACTTTAGATTGCCTATTCGCCCAGTAGGGGGGCTAATGAAGTCGCCCCAGAGTCGACGTTGACGTCAGTGTCAGCATCCCGCTTCAGTCCAAGTTGTTTCAGACAGTGTTTGATCACCACAGTCAAGAGGCTGTTGGTTATTATAAGGTTGAGGTATTTATATGGAGTGTAAGGAATGCTCCAAATCAAATTTTCTTTGGGCCAAGAGTAGCTTAAATGGACTTGGTTAATGCAAGTTTTTTTATGCAATGTTATATCACCACACCCAAATGGTTGACTTTAAATTCAACGTTGTGTGGTGAACATTTTAGGATTATTCCATGCAACTTTCAAATATTTTGTTTATAATATATTAATTTAAAAGCCCTTATATTGTTATATTCAGATATATATCTACATATAACACTGTGCCTACACTTAAACTGAAGTCCATATTTTGTATAGTTACCTACCTATAAAATGATGCTCAAAATAACAATACCAGTTAGGCAATCTTCAACATATTATATTTAGATGCATGTGTTGCTATTGATATTTAAAATAAGTGAAATCCCACATGTTAGGCTAATATACTGTTAAATTGGGTCATAGAAAGTACTTTTTGCAAGTCGTTCCCCCTTCCCCATATAAAATTGAAATGTTCACAGGTGTACATTATCGGGTACACAATTCAAACAAGAGGCCCAGAGAGCCTGTATCGCTCACCTGGATATCAAAATAATCATGGCAAAATATTCTCCAAATAAGGTCTAAGGGAATGGGCCAGACCCCAAGGCAAATCCTTGTATCATATCTGTATTAGATTTTTCATGCCCAGCAATTTTATGTATAGTTATGGGGTGGGGATCTCAACTGTTTCTAAGGTGTGACTCAGAAACTAGGTCCCTAGGGTTGTGGCCAGACCCCAGGATCAATTATAATATCATGACTGCATTTGTCTCTTTATTCCCAACAATTAAATATCTAGTTTTGGGGTGGGAATCTTAACCGTTTCAAAGTAATGACCCAGGGGTTAAGTCTTCAAGGGTGGGGCAGACCCTGGAGTCAATTCTTATATCATGACTGCATTCGTCTCTTTATGCCTAGCATTTGTATATACAGTCGAATCTGTATTAAGGGATTATGTCTCCAAGGGTGGGGCCAGACCCCTGAGCAATCCTGGAAGCATATGTACATTCTTCTCTTCATGCTCAGCAATATTATATATGGTTATAGGGTGGAATTCTCAACCATTTCCAAGCAATAAACTATTTTTGGCCCCAACCTTTAGCCAAGGGGGTCTGCCCCACTACTTGTACAATTTGAATCCATGCCTCCCATGAATGCTTCAAACTAAATATGATTGATATCCAGTGCATAGTTCTACAGAAGAAGTCATTTATAGCAATATAGCCAAATTGCCTTTTGGTCCCGCCCCTCACCCCCTGGGGGGTCAGCCCCACCATTTGTACAATTTTGAATCCCCACTCCCTAGGGATGCATCCAGTCAAATATGGTTGATATCCATCTCTTAGTTCCAGAGGAGAAGTCACTTAAAGCAATATAGCCAAATTTACCCCTTTTAGGCCCCTCAGTCCCACCATTTGTTCACTTCTGAATTCCCACTACCTAACGATGCTTCCAGTCAAATATGGTTGATATCCATCTCTTAGTTCCAGAGGAGAAGTCACTTAAAGCAATATAGCCAAATTGACCCCTTTTAGGCCCCTCAGTCCCACCATTTGTTCACTTCTGAAACACCACTACCTAGCGATGCTTCCAGTCAAATATGGATGATGTCCATCTTTCAGTTGTAGAGAAGATGTCGCTTAAAGCAATATAGCCAAATTGTCCTCTTTTGGCCCCGCCCCTCAGCCCCCTGGGAGGTTAACCCTACCATTTGTACAATTTTGAATCCCCACCACCTAGGGATGCTTCCAGTCAAATTTAGTTAAATTCCAATCAGTGGTTAAGAAGGAGAAGTCGTTTGAAGAAATTGTTGACGTACAGATGACACGGTATGGCATAAGCTCACCTTGGTCCTTCGGACCAGGTGAGCTAAAAAAGTACAAAATAGTTATATCATTAAAAAAAGTTTATTGTAAGCATCTAATTCTTAAATCACATGTTTTAACTTCAGTAAACAACAAAATAACAATTATTTACAAAATACTGAAAAAGTCCATGATTGAGAATTATTTTTAAATCAAACATTTCTGTGAAATAAAACCTTCCCAAAATGTTACTTGTAGTTCCATACAAATGATTTAGTTAGAAGTGAGCTACATAGTTTAAAAAGAAATGGAAAATTCAATGATGTATTGGAATAATGGTGTACAGGACATACAACCAAGTACAGTACTTAGTTATATTTATCCTCTGCAAAGTGCAAAGGTCTCTAGTCAACAGACTCGGGACCAGGGTAGTGAATCCTCACAATCCTTAACCTATACAATGTATAACGGTCTCTGGTCAACAGACTCGGGACCAGGGTAGTGAATCCTCACAATCCTTAACCTATACAATGTATAATGGTCTCTGGTCAACAGACTCAGGACCAGGGTAGTGAATCCTCACAATCCTTAACCTATACAATGTATAATGGTCTCTGGTCAACAGACTCGGGACCAGGGTAGTGAATCCTCACAATCCTTAACCTATACAATGTATAACGGTCTCTGGTCAACAGACTCGGGACCAGGGTAGTGAATCCTCACAATCCTTAACCTATACAATGTATAACGGTCTCTGGTCAACAGACTCGGGACCAGGGTAGTGAATCCTCACAATCCTTAACCTATACAATGTATAATGGTCTCTGGTCAACAGACTCAGGACCAGGGTAGTGAATCCTCACAATCCTTAACCTATACAATGTATAATGGTCTCTGGTCAACAGACTCAGGACCAGGGTAGTGAATCCTCACAATCCTTAACCTATACAATGTATAATGGTCTCTGGTCAACAGACTCAGGACCAGGGTAGTGAATCCTCACAATCCTTAACCTATACAATGTATAATGGTCTCTGGTCAACAGACTCAGGACCAGGGTAGAGAATCCTCACAATCCTTAACCTATACAATGTATAATGGTCTCTGGTCAACAGACTCAGGACCAGGGTAGAGAATCCTCACAATCCTTGTCCTCAACGATGTTTAAACATTGGTCCACAAACTCTGTGAAGATAGGTTCCTGCATAGCTTTATCCATGGCGGTCCTAGGGTTGTCTGCCTTTGTTAGTCCAGTCATCATGTCACGTAAATGAGGATTCTCCAGCAGTTTGTGGAGGTCCGGACACTTACCTAGTCAAGAGAAAATTATCTGTAAACTAAAATTCTAACATGATTAAACTGTTAGGTTAAACTGGATATTCCCTAGTTTTGTCTAGTTATTCCAGAATACCAGTTGTATTTTTTTACAAGTCTAAGAGGGGTGGTGCAGACATCTTGATATATTTTCCGTGAGTACCATGCAAGCATTCCATAAATTTAATATAAATTTCTGACAAAGATGTGATCCTCAGTTGCCTACCCAATCTATCATCTTACCTAACTGTTGTAGCTGGAGGACAGACAGTGTATCCTCAGTTGCCTACCCAATCTGTCATCTTACCTAACTGTGGTAGCTGGTGGACAGACAGTGTATCCTCAGTTGTCTACCCAATCTATCATCTTACCTAACTGTTGTAGCTGTTGGACAGACAGTGTTGCCTCAGCTGCCTACCCAATATGTCATCTTACCTTACTGTTGTAGCTGTTGGACAGACAGTCTGTCCTCAGTTGCCTACCCAATATGTCATCATACCTAACTGTTGTAGCTGGTGGACAGACAGTGTGTCCTCAGTTGCCTACCCAATATGTCATCATACCTAACTGTTGTAGCTGGTGGACAGACAGTGTGTCCTCAGTTGCCTACCCAATATGTCATCATACCTAACTGTTGTAGCTGCTGGACAGACAGTGTGTCCTCAGTTGCTTACCCAATCTGTCATCTTACCTAACTGTTGTAGCTCTTGGACAGACAGTGTGTCCTCAGTTGCCTACCCAATCTGTCATCTTACCTAACTGTTGTAGCTCTTGGACAGACAGTGTGTCCTCAGTTGCCTACCCAATATGTCATCATACCTAACTGTTGTAGCTGGTGGACAGACAGTGTGTCCTCAGTTGCCTACCCAATCTATCATCTTACCTAACTGTTGTAGCTGGAGGACAGACAGTGTATCCTCAGTTGCCTACCCAATCTATCATCTTACCTAACTGTTGTAGCTGTTGGACAGGCAGTGCGGCCTCAGCTGCCTACCCAATATGTCATCTTACCTTACTGTTGTAGCTGTTGGACAGACAGAGCTGCCTCAGCTGCCTACCCAATATGTCATCTTGCCTTACTGTTGTAGCTGTTGGACAGACAGTGTTGCCTCAGCTGCCTACCCAATATGTCATCTTCCCTTACTGTTGTAGCTGTTGGACAGACAGAGCTGCCTCAGCTGCCTACCCAATATGTCATCTTACCTAACTGTTGTAGCTGGTGGAGTAGGTAAGATGACAGATTGGATAGGCAACTGAGGACATGCTGTTTGCCTACCCAATCTATCATCTTACCTAACTGTTGTAGCTGGTGGACAGACAGTGTGTCCTCAGTTGCCTATCCAATCTGTCATCTTACCTAACTGTTGTAGCTGTTGGACAGACAGTGCTGCCTCAGCTGCCTACCCAATATGTCATCTTACCTTACTGTTGTAGCTGTTGGACAGACAGTGTGTCCTCAGCTGCCTACCCAATATGTCATCTTACCTAACTGTTGTAGCTGGTAGACAAACAGCGTGTCCTCAGTTGCCTACCCAATCTGTCATCTTACCTAACTGTTATAGCTTGTGGACAGACAGTGTGTCCTCAGTTGCCTGCCCAATCTGTCATCTTTCCTAACTGTTGTAGCTGGTGGACGGTCTTACCTAACTGTTGTAGCTGGTAGACAAACAGCGTGCCCTCAGTTGCCTACCCAATCTGTCATCATACCTAACTGTTGTAGCTGGTGGACAGTCAGTGTGTCCTCAGTTGCCTCCCCAATCTATCATCTTACCTAACTGTTGTAGCTGGTGGACGGTCTTACCTAACTGTTGTAGCTGGTGGACAGACAGTGTGTCCTCAGTTGCCTCCTCGTCATCCTCTGGTTTAAAAAGGATGTCCATTTCTACAACCCGCAAAATTATGATATATTATTTTTTAAGCCACCCACTCAATAAATGTATTGATGTTTCTTTACATAATGCAGATTTGAATACATTAAAATTATATTAAGTAGATTTAACCATGAAATCTAAGAACTTTTACAGATTAACTGATTTTTTATTGTCTCTGATATTCACATGAACATCCTAAAGGGAGTTGAAGAATGTATTCAATATGTCTCTGCAAATTGGAAAATAGGATGAGAATGATGGATTTTTAATCAACCCAAACAAACAAACAAACAAAACCTTGGTCAAAGTCATTAGAGAACTTTCACCTGTGTGTAGTAAAAGTTGTGGTCAAAACCGGTCTGACACAAAGTCATTAAGGGAACTTTCACCTGTGTGTAGTAAAAGTTGTGGTCAAAACCGGTCTGACGCAAAGTCATTAAGGGAACTTTCACCTTTGTGTAGTAAAAGTTGTGGTCAAAACTGGTCTGACACAAAGTCATTAGAGAACTTTCACCTGTGTGTAGTAAAAGTTGTGGTCAAAACCGGTCTGACACAAAGTTGACAATATAACAACTCCTCAAAGACCCAAATACCGAATTTAGAATCAACTTGAAAATTGCATATGCTTGGCAGAATCAACTTTGAGTGATGCCAATTCAATTTGTTAATTTGCTGTGTTATTATTCTTTTTCAAAAAAAAAGGCCATAAAAATATAACGAATATGTTTGTCGTCTTACGACTGATAAAACAAAGGAGATCTCAATTCAACTTAGAATGGTCCTAACTCCTATGGCAATGTTTGGCTAAACTAATTTGTATGATATTTGATAAAGAAGACGTATTGCAGTGTTATCATATATAGCAGGCATTCACGTGTCCTTACTTAATCAACAAGTTAAAAACCTTAAGTGTCCTAAAAGACATTTTGCAGGTTTCTTGTAAATGGTATGAAGCTCTTTAATGGAAAAGAGGTGCAGTATCAATGTGATGCCCTTCATTGGTTCGCCTCGTCTGATGTAAACCAACCTTTGTCGTAAGACTGGCTACCTTCTGTTGTTACTGTGGAAGAACACTCTGGTTTCTTTGTCTCCTGCAGTGATACACAGTTTGTTTCTGAAATGAAATGAACATATTTTACAAACAGCATCAGACATTTGCCTACTGATATTTAATATCTTACTGTAAATGCGGAAAGTCGGGGACAATGTTTTGGGCTGCATAATGCCAACTATTCCCTACAAACCCAAAATATCTGAGCTGCAAGTAAAGTTTTGTTGTTGTTGATTTATTTTTTAATTTGGACTTTTTATACGCACGTCAAATTTGGTATAGCATTTGCGTCCGTTCATGTCATGTTAAAGTTTTGGTGCAAGTTTTTTCAGTGGTCTACAGTTCAGTCAGATCATGTGTTATTGTCCTAATTTTTGGCAAGGATGTTCATGTGGGCGCTAACAAGGAAAATAAATCCATATTTTTGTTAATTTTGGACGTGTTTGGGACTTAACATTTCTCAAGCAATTTCCTCGGTTAAAGTTTTGGTGCAAGTTTTTTCAGTGGTCTACAGTTCAGTCAGAGCATGTGTTATTGTCCTATTTTTTGGCATGGATGTTCATGTGGAGTTTGAGAAGGACAACATGGATTTAATTTGGGAAAATAATTTCTATTTTTGGAAATTGTGGACGTGTTTAGGACTTAACTTTTCTCATGCAATTTCTCGGTTAAAGTTTTGGTGCAAGTTTCTTCAGTGGTTTACCGTTCAGTAAGAGCATGTGTAATTTTACACTCAAGCTAATCCATACAGCTGACAGGGGCAGATCAAATTAGTTATTTACCTTTGTGGTTTTTGTAGCAGCCAACAGAACAACTGAAAACATACAAACAGTGATATTTTATTTCTAAAATTCAATAAAGTGTCATGTATGCCGCATGTATGCAACAAATAATTTATTTCCACAAATTCTTTTTTATATTTTATGTACAATTCAGACTATCTGTATACCTGTAATAAACTATACAGAGATAGAGGATCCAGGTTTTGGGTTTTTCATGTTTGTCAGCCTCTGGCGTTTTGGATTTTTCATGAGACGAGCAAATATGAAAAATCTGAAATGAGTATCATAAATCCAATATGAAGGGAAACGAAAAACAGATTCTTTTTATCATATAATACAAAGTAAGCTGTATAATTGTGATCTGAAACAAATATTTGCGCTTGGTCGCCTCTGAAACGATGACGTGACGTCATAGATTGTTCCTATTCGATTGTGACTTCATTTCCGGAGTGATATTACACACGTTACAAAAACATAATTTATGTGTTGGCTTTTGGACACTGCATAACACGGTATTCATATGATAAACAGTTTGATGTCACTTACTACTGCAGGGCACATTTTGGACATTTATACTTCGATGTTTCTTCCTCACAGACTTGACATTGTATCCACGTCATTTTGGATTTGTCTTTTAAAATTTGAATCTGTACCAAATAAAATGACATATTTTTCAATATATTTTTTTCTGTACTATATTCATACTACCGTATACAGAAATGTCCTAACCTTCCAATGTACCAGTAGCATGCATTTGCATTGATTCTGTATCAGTTTGGGCACAATGGCGCATCTTGGTAATAATCCTTTTTTGGTAACAGTTACCATTTACAACGCATAACATTTTGATTACTGAAGTGGGACGAAAGTGAAATGAAAACGCAAAGTCCTTTTAAACATAATGAAAAAAACCCAGGGCACTATGGACTTTCAACTTAATGAAGAAATTGAAAGCCTGTTATACTGGTTTCAATGTTTACATTTTTACTTAATAACTTAGCATAAGAATGGTTTCATAAATATGGGCCCAGGTCAAATATCATAATAGAGACTATGACATTAACGTTTTTCAGGACAAAATGGTTGCAGATTGCTACTTGAACCACATCACATGTACAGGACCTTGAAACTCAGGACAGACCCTCTCTCAATAACCAACTGAAGTCTTTTGAAATAAACAAGGTAGTGCTTACAGAATAACAAGACATAGCAAACCCGTGACAGTTATAGTTATATTATTGTAATCTAATACAAATATAAAAGTACAACTATTATTATGAAATATGAAATATATAACCCAGTAAGACCATGTATCACGAACCTAACATAAATGTAAACACAACTCATCTAGACAGAAATATAAAATGTAACACGATGCCTGCCTTGTACATATGTAAACTCACGTGTTTTCGAAACAGGTAATAAACACAAGCACGTGTTTGTTCTGAATCTCCACGTGCTGTGTGCTCCCTTAGGCTAGGGGCATACACGTGCGTACATCAACTGCAGCTGAAGTATACTGATGTGATATTTGTTGATAATCTGGATTCTTCACGCAGCTTCGATCAATTTCTACCAAACTAGTATCAACCCAGCGCCAGTAGAAGATATCAACGATATATATATAATATAGCCCGTCTATTTTGAAGCATGCTGAAGTAAGGGATTTCCCAACAAGCGCCGTGACGACGTGGTTTAGACATGATAATGCAAAGATTTATTTCATTATATCACAGCATAACGGCTTATTTTACATTGACAAATAATCGATATTTTTATATGATATAGATAATTTATAATTATGATATATTGTTTGTTTTGCAGACCAGATAGGTATCATTTTATGATATATTAAATTATATATTAATTAAATATTTTACTAGAGTATCGTAGATATTACTCTGTAGGAGAGCGCTCATGTTCCCTACTGGGAAAATGAAAATAGTGTCGGCTGAAATAGTTGGCGATTTACAGAAAGGTCGTTGAAATGTCAGCATTGAAAGCATTAGAATTTGTGAGCGTCTTGCTTCACGATGTTGCGGAGTCAAAGTTTTTGTTGACACAAATCCCGGAAAAGGGATTATGGCTGCCAACGGGAACGAAAGGCGATGGGGAAACACTTCAAAATGTGGCGCTGCGAATCGCAAACGAGGTAAATACGCTACAATTTACATCCTCATTTGTGATACGACCATAAATTTAATGATTTATGTTTAAATATGCATAATGGCAATGGAGGAGATATGATATTGGAAGGGGGTGCCCCGTGCACCCCCTCCCCCCCCCCCGGCATTTCCACATGTAACGTAAGTGCCGGCAAATTCGTCACATTAGTAAAGGTTTCGGTTAATTATTCGTCCAAAACGCATACGCATGTATCAAAATGCCGACAAGCACCTGTACAGAAGAAGATTTGACTGAAATGCCTATATATAAACATTGTGCAGGCAGTTTCGTTACCTTAAAACATTTTACTAATTATAGAAGTAATCTTAGTGTTTAAATGTAAAATTTTGTAGATACGAACAGCTCCAAATGTGTGTGTGTAACAATGATTAACATTGCAATACATGGCTTTTCTTAGAGAAAGATGGCTGGTATCGGCTGAGATGATGTCAATTTATATGATACGCATTATGAAGACTCTGACAAATATAAACTTCCAAATCGCTACCAAAAATTATATTTGTAATCGTGGCCGCATGAGAGAGTCCAGGACTTTCAACGATCGTCCCCAACTTTTGGATAGTTTGTCACATGATTTATGGTTATATCGGCCCAAGGTAAAAACGGCCTCGATTTACCCAAGTGAAATCGGCCCAAGGTAAAATTGGCCCTATGTATACATGGAATCCCTTTCTTTGGGTTTCATTTATATATCAACCTCTGAACATACATATTTAAATTAATAAATTCCTTTCTGCATTTCCTTGTCTCAGTCGCGAGTTCCACAAGGGGAGGTAACCTGTACTAATGTAATCTGTTATATACGTCGCGTAAGATAGTTATCATTTTGTGTGTAATCTGAAACACTGACATTATTTAATTAGATTTAATTATTCGAATGATTATTTTTTATATGATTAATGAGGAAGTTAGCTGATGCATACAGTCTGGTAGGCGAACATCGTTGTTTGTGTAAGGCAATAAAAACAAAACAACAACACCAGTACATAATTAAATAAATCCTTTAATGTATTTATTTAAATATAATTCTACTTATAAATGTATAAATCCCATGTATTTAACATATAGATACATAGTAGGGCCGATTTTAACTTGGGCCGATTTCACTTGGGTAAAATAGGCCTGGCCGATATAACCAAATACCTGTCACATATGTACGTCTCCTATCGTCTTGCACGTCAACGGGAAACATCTGACATATTAAAACGATTTTTTGGGCTTGAAAACTTATTCAACTAAGACTGCTCGACCATGTGTTGTAAATGTACTTAATTTTCATGTAAAAATCAGTCTTTGGTAACTGTCGGTTTCTACATACAATTATCATGCGATTGTAGGGAGAGACCGTAGAAATTCTTTTCAAATACAAATCTAGAAAATTTCTAGATGGTATTTTAATTGTTGTAAGATGGATGAATGTAAATCGCAAACAATACTTTTTAAAAGATACTGGTTGATTGTATTCTAAATACACATTGCATGAAAATAGAAAACGAATGATCAAATCGCGGATCGATTGAGGTCTTGACCAAACAGGTGAGTCGGTGAAATTAAAGATTTACATGTATGTACTTCGGATGAAGTTTTTAACTTATAATACTTCATTTTAGATACAGAAATAGTTGTTATAACCTTTTCATTAACATATTATTAACCTTTTATCTAATAACACTTTGAAATATTGCACCAACAGACTCCAGTCTGAGTCATCAATATGTTTGTATGTCCTCTGATCTGAATCATCCCGTTTGGACCCCAAGTCAAATTGATGTTTAATTTGTTCTGTTTGTAAAATGTGTCCCTCTCCATTGAGCAGGTGACAGGTCAGGATGTTGGAGTGAAGGGATTATTGAAGACCAGCTTCATACACTTTGTCAACTCACCGTCGGTTGTCTTGGTAACGTTCCTAATGCATTCTGTGGAGAGACCAGACCTGGTTAGTATAGCTCTTGTGTCAACAAACCAAACACAAACGATATGGTAGCAGCAAGCACTGGGCATTTATAAAATTTTGCATGGTTTGACTGAATTTAAGAAACCCTGTCCCACTGTAAACACCAGAGAAATAATTTATTGGAGAAGGGAGGTATAAGTCTATGGGGGAGTGAGCAGTATGGGCTGTACAGGTCCAGTTGCTCTGATATCATTGCTGACAGATGCATCTATATAAAGTGTTCTATTATAATTAGCTTATTGTTTACTGTTGGCTCTGTGTGATATTTAATGTTGTGTTAATGGCAGTATGCTTGTATTGTTTTTTCTTCAATTTAATTGTACACTCTGTTAGTATGGCATACATTCGATGCACAAATATACATGTATTTACAGTACGTACAATACACTTGGTTGTATATTTCAGTGTGCCAAGGAAGCAGTGTGGTTGAGCGAGGAACAAACAGAAGACAAACTGAAGTCATCTGAACTTTTAGGAACAGAACCAGTCAGTTTCATCCAACAAGTACAGAATGGTATTCAATTTTCTCTTTCCTGGGTTGACATAGATTTATATTCAGTGAAAATCAAAAGAAATTACATATCTATAAATGGCATCTTACCTAGATGTGACTGCGTGGGGGAGTGTTATCCTGGAGTAAAAAGTTAAGCAGACATTGTATATTTTAGTCTCAGTATATCAATTAATACAAAAAAAAATCATTTAAAACTCCACCGTCATAGACATTTGTCCCCAAATACAACATGGCAAGATGTTAACATTATCAAAATAAAATAAAAAATCCAATTAAAACAAAATGATTGTAAATTTCCAAGGGCCAAAATTTCCAATGGCCCTGTTTTAAAATTACTGGAGAAAATCCTGAAAGTAAATGCATCATGTAGTGACCTATGTCCACTAGGGGCCATCCCCACTAACTCACTGAGTGAGACCAACGTTGAGTATGTGGACACGGAAGCTATCACCGACCTGTCACAGATTACAGCACAGGAGGCGCTCATCAAGTCGGCCAAGTTTGGCAGGAAAGGTACCGTAATTTCTTCATTTGTTTGCTGGTTCAGACAATTTTGTCTATTAGGATAATTGCAGAGACTTTTAATTGGGACTAGAGAGCTTCAAAGTAAGCTCATTTGTTATTAAAGAGCTTTCTTCTCACTGTAGGGTTAAACCCTAGAGGGTAATTATAGAGAGTAAGAATTACACTCCTACTAACTTCTTTACAAAGGAAGCCAGACAACCTAATTTGGTTGAAAGGATCCCTATCTAGAAGGAACAAAGGAAGTCTGTTTAATTGAAGTTTATATGATAACTCTCATGACACTATTTGCCTGTTCTCAGCCAATAACTATTTGACAATTTTAATAAATGTACTTGTACCATATGTTACATATTCAAAATTTCAAAAAGACCAGGTGAAGGTAAAAAAAAGATTCATAAATGATAAAAGTTAATTAAGACTCGACATAGGGTAAAATTGCCTGGAATATATTATCCAAATATATCCCTTTTCTCTTACTAGTTACTTTCATTTACAGAACAAGACATGTTTTTCAAAGAGTTCATGAGTTGGTGTTTGCCAAGCCAGACGATGAACTTTGAAGTTTTTCGAGCTTTCATCACGCACAAAGGGGCAAGAGCAGACTTGGTGGAGGATTTCTTTAGGTAGGGTGAGAGGGCAGACTTGTTGGGGAATTTCTTTAGGTAGGGTGAAAGGGCAGACTTGGTGGAGGATTTCTTTAGGTAGGGGGAGAGGACAGACTTGGTGGGGGATTTCTTTAGGTAGGGTGAGAGGGCAGACTTGTTGGGGAATTTCTTTAGGTAGGGTGAAAGGGCAGACTTGGTGGAGGATTTCTTTAGGTAGGGGGAGAGGACAGACTTGGTGGGGGATTTCTTTAGGTAGGGTGAGAGGGCAGACTTGGTGGAGGATTTCTTAAGGTAGGGTGAGAGGGCAGACTTGGTGGAGGATTTCTTTAGGTAGGGTTAGAGGGCAGACTTGGTGGAGGATTTCTTTAGGTAGGGTGAGAGGGCAGACTTGGTGGGGAATTTCTTTAGCTAGGGTGAGAGGGCAGACTTGGCGGAGGATTTCCTTAGGTAGGGTGAGAGGGCAGACTTGTTGGGGAATTTCTTTAGGTAGGGTGAAAGGGCAGACTTGGTGGAGGATTTCTTTAGGTAGGGTGAGAGGGCAGACTTGGTGGAATATTTCTTTAGGAAGGGTGAGAGGGCAGACTTGTTGGAGGATTTCTTCAGAATGATAAATTTGTTGTCACCTTAGCACATTTAATTCTGATTTGAAAAGAAGAAAAAATAAAAAAATAAGATAAAAATATAAAAATGTCAGATGCTGGTAGCAAAAAAGACAGCCATACAGTTTTCTTTATTAGGAGAACTTAATTTAGTCAAAAAATATCTCACTTAGTGGAAGGTAAAAGAATCATCAGGAAGTTTTGGAGTGTGATTGTCTTTATAACAGACTAGTGATATCACAGACTTTGTTGTTTAGTACTTTAGTTAAATTGAGTTCCTGATTGTGCTTAGATTTGACACATATTGTAAAACAACTGTTTGCAGGGCGTTCGACACACACAAACGACGGATGCTCAACTTTAAGGAAGTATTACTAGGCCTAGCAGCCATTGAACCCAGCACACAACACGGTGGAATGCCAGCAGAGATGAGATGTAGATACATTTTCCGGTTTTATGACAAAAATATGGACAACTCTTTACAGTTTACAGAATTCAGGTAACTAGTGCTGTGAAGTTTGCATTGTGTGACCTCAAAACCACCCTAGCTCCACATTATATTATATATCCGGCTATGACAAATTAACAGTAGCTTCAAAGCCGTTATATTGTTATTGTAAAAAAGTTCATGAAACAATACCAGTTTTTCTGTGAGATAATTCAATGACTTATACTGTATGTATTCTGTCACCTTCATCAGAGTTCGTTGTTACTAGGTCCACAGATAAATAAAATCAACAAACTGATTCAGCTACACTTTCTTTATTACCTGGTTATAGATATGCGAGAGTCTATGAGCCCCCCTCATCTCGATTCAGAACTGGCCTCCTGCAGTGTATTCAGATGACCTCCTTTATCAGCAGCTTGAATTTTTCCCTTTCTGTCCAATACTTTGTAGTTATCCCAGTCAGTAACATGGTTTTCCTGTGTGGCATGGTCTGTTACTGCCGATTTATTGATCTGGGACTCCGACTGCTTCCTATCTGATTGGGTGAATTTTTGTTCCTCTTGGGTTTCTGTATATATCCAGTGTTCGCTTAGTTAGATCCCAAATTGCCTTCCAGTTTCTCCGATACACTAAAATCTAAGTGCAGTTGTGTTTCTAGCATAGCTGAATCAACACTTTACTTGTCATTTATCTGATGAAGGTGACACAGTACAGGCCATACTAGTTACTTGTCCACACTTGCCATTTAATTCTTTTCAAATACATGTACCGCTATGATCTTTTCTGAACATTTTCCTGCTCTCCTTCTGGCCTACTGCAATCAAAGGATCTGTAGGAGGAAGTTTGGAAGCAATAATAATTTGGAATGTTTTTAAATTAAAAGTTTTCTTGTTTGAGAGAGTAATCTGCAAAAGTCCTCGTCATATCAGAAGATAAGTTAAATACTTCATTAATATTCCATGGTGTTTTTGGTTCTAAATGCACAACAGCATAGTTTACGATGCTAGTTTTTACAATGGATGGTAGGTAACTCTGAAACAGTGACAAGAAATTGAAGTGAATGTACTGTTTAATATGTTATAAACAGAGAAATATTAACCTATTTATCTCAACTGGTGTTGGCTTGTTCCCCGGCTAGTAGAATTCTGAACGTTTCTGACAAAGACTTCAGTAAAGATGTACCAGTAAATCAAACATGTATCATAACAGGGAAATGGTGCGGGACATCCGTCAGATCAAAGGTCTGTCCACCGACGATGAGTCGGTTTATGATGATGCCATGAAAAGTGCCAAGTAAGTATACATGTAGTTTCTGGCTCAGTTTTTAACTGATGGAAAAGATATTTCATCTATGGTTCCCTGTTATTATTGTTTAAAAATGAATAAATATATATATATATATAATATTAAAAGATTTCTTTGATAAAATATTGTTTACCATAGAAGTCCTTGTAAAAGGTTCCTTCTTTTGATAAAAGATTTGTAACGATTGAAACAAAGGCCATTTATAGGCCGATTAAAATTGATGAAATAATGATGTTATAGATTTATCATCTTGATTGTGTTCCATGCCTGGTCGATCACTCTATAAATAGATCACTGAGATAGCTCGTTAGAATACATACATAGAAGGTGAATGATTATCAGAAACAAATTATAGGAACACATCTACAGTGTATGAATGGCTACCTATTCTGTGTGTGGTAGGTTTTGATTGTACATAGGATAAAGGTCGCCTTCTAGCTTCAGGAAATTTCCCTTTAGCTCAGTTGTAGAGCGTCCGACTAGTAACCTGGAGATCAAGGGTTCGATTCCTGGTGGAAGCACACTATTCTCTTTCCCGTTACAAATGGTATCCGGGGCCCTCCCTGTGGTGACAGGGAGTTAGAACCTGGGTTTTGGTGTTCGAGGGCGAACACATTTAAAAAGGGGGGAGTAGTGTGGCAGGTTTTAATTGTATATAGGATTAAGGTTGTCTCTAGCTTTGTTCTGTTTAATGGTTTTACCTCAGCTAGGACTAAGCCATCATGTTTTCTGTGAACCATCACGGTTTGACTACAACATGGAAGCTTTCAAGGGCTGTTGGGAATTGAAATTTAACTGAAAATTGATAAATAAATAATTTTACTGATAACTTTTACCATCAAATGCATCAAAATAGCATTTCTGCATATAGATATTAAGTATTTAAATAACACATTCACAGTATTTTAGCCTATTAGGTGAATCCTCTCTGGTTTAAATTTTTTTTATGATTCATCAGTAACCGATCTTTGATCGTTTGAAAAACGGTGATAATCAATTGTGAATTATAAGTGATTCCAAACATTTTTTCTGTGTCACTTTTTTGGTGTTTTAGCTTTTAGGCATAACTTGATGGAAATGGACATTTAACATTTCAAAAGTCATACCATACTACAATTGCTTAATCTTGCTGATTTTAATTATCAAAATCAGATGAAAATTCAGACAGTGGATGAGGATTCAATCTTGAAGTTCATTAATGTGAAGTTTTAAACTATGAAATAAAAATAAATTCTCATAATAATTGGTTTATAAATTTATAAGTATCAATTTATTACTGTTGATTTTGACTTTTCAGATGTTTCGGTTCAGAGACTAAAAACAAATTGCCCATGGGCGAGTTTCTCACTGCTGTGGGCCAGCTTAAGTTCCGCGGGACGTCAGTGTTGTTCCGTCTCTCACATTCCAGTCTCACCTCCATAAAAAGGTAAATTATACTGAAGCAGAATGTCATTTACTGGTTTTAGATTAAAATTTAGAATGTTTTCTTTGCCTCGCACATGTATTTTTTATCGGTCAATATTGCATATTTCAAGATTGTCAAAAAAAAGAGACTTTTTAAAGAAAGGTTTTTCTTTCAAATATGATTGAAACTGCTCCAGGAACCAGTGTAAACCAGCTGTTATAGACAGGTGGTTGTGATAGACAGGAGTTCACTGAAGACAGGTGGTTGTTATAGACAGGTGTTCACTGAAGACAGGTGGTTGTGATAGACAGGAGTTCACTGAAGACATGTGTTTGTTATAGACAGGTGTTCACTGAAGACATGTGTTTGTTATAGACATGTGTTCACTGAAGACAGGTGGTTGTGATAGACAGGCATTTACTGAAGACATGTGTTTGTTATAGACATGTGTTTGTTATAGACAGGCATTTACTGAAGACATGTGTTTGTTATAGACATGTGTTCACTGAAGACAGGTGGTTGTGATAGACAGGCATTCACTGAAGACAGGTGGTTGTGATAGACAGGTGTTCACTGAAGACAGGTGGTTGTGATATACAGGTGTTCACTGAAGACAGGTGGTCATGATAGACAGGCATTCACTGAAGACATGTGGTTATTATAGACAGGTGTTCACTGAAGACAGGTGGTTGTGATAGACAGGCATTCACTGAAGACAGGTGGTTGTGATAGACAGGCGTTCACTGAAGACAGGTGGTCACTATATGTGGATGAGGTCCACTAGTTCATACAATATGTACATTTATGACCAAGTCCAGTCACTGACATCAAATATGATTCCTTTTAACTATTTCTCAAATTTTATTGGAGGGTAAAAAATAAAGAACAAAGGAAGTTAAGATAATACATCATACAAAGATATAGTGTAGTCTTTCTAAGTCTTAGACTTCCCGGTACTGCTATCCAGGTACAGAAAGGACCCTAATATATAAAGAAATAGCCTGAGGTTACTGACAAATTTGTTTGAATTGATCACTAAATGGATTTTAAGAAATATTGTTACAGAAGAAAGTCGAAAACCTGTGTATCTATGAATGTATGAGGTGATTTATCATTATATAATTAGATGTGACAGGATTAAAAGTGAAAATGAAAAAATCAGACGGTCTTAAATTTTTATTTTCTGACTCGGAATAGTCCCCGAGGAGATCCTAAAATTGGATGGAAATAACTGTGTGAATTTTGCTATCATATTTCTACAGTTCCTCAGATGGGAGTTTGTCGTCCCCCCAGAGAGAAGAGGAGACAGAACCACCCTCAAAGAGATATCGTCCCAAACTGATGGACGCCATGAAGTTCTCGCCTCCGAAGAAACTCAATATGACCGGTAAGACTCACATTTTAGACACAAGTAAATAAAAACTGGCCACCTTTTATAGTTTTGTTACAGGTACTTTAAAGAAAATTGAATTATTTTTTCAATATTGGTTCAATTTGAGAAAAAAAATCTTTTAGGAAATTCATTTTTCTAAACTTTTTGTGGAATTAATAAGAATCTTTTATAGAAAACTTTAAAACACTTGATAATCCACCATACATTTACTGCTTTTCGCTGATTTTAAGTTGACTGAATCAGCTGTCAAATACTCACATGTCGATACATTATTTGAGGCACTATACAGTGTATGTTGTAGAATTATTGTCAACAAAAATATTTTTACTCTTTGAACAGTTTAAAGAGAAACCCCTCTACTTTTACATTTTATCGCCCCAGACTGAACATTTGTATCATAATGTCCTTCCTTTGTATACAGTTAACAATACTAAATCCCAATGTTATTGCAGATCCTGATGCAGACGTGTTCAAGTTGCCGGAGGGTCGGCCGGTGATGTCGGGTAAACACCACGGACTTCAACCCAAATACGAGTTAGCCACACACACAGTCAAAGTGAGGCGAACCGGCTTCCTGTCGGACGTTATCAAACTCTGGGACCTGCAAGGTGAGATGTAGATGGTTACAAATATGATCTACCAGAGAGAGAGAAAAAAAGAAAATCTGTTAAAGGGTATTTGTGTCTCCCCTTCGAATGAGAAGACATATTGTGTTAGTACTGGTTCTTCTGGTTCTGGTTCTTGTAATATATTTGTGTTCCGCAGTCATCACATGTATGATTGCCGTTTGATATGAACTAACATGTTGTGAGTTGTTTGTGTCCGTGCCAGGTACAACTGCTGTGGCAGAAAGTGCTATGAGTCACCTTGAAGGAGATATTTCCCGCTTCCAACGAATGTCCTCCATCGACTCCTTCAACCAGGTATGGATGTGATGGAAATTACTGTTTATACTATTTGAATAACTTTGACGTTTTAAATGTAAATTTTCATATTTTTAAGGAAAAAAAGTTGCTTTCATTCACCCAAATAATAATTTGAAAAATGTATCTTTTTTTCATCTTGGCTTCTCTGTATTTCAGAGATCCCACCCGAACGAGATGTTGACAGGACTTCGCTACTTTGAGCGATCCATAAAAGGGGACAATGGAAATCAAGCAAAGGTATGAGTGACTCGGAGGATGAGATCAGTTGAATGTTTGATTGGCAGGTAAATGTTCATAATTCACAGTGAAGAAAGTTGAGTCAGATTGGTAAGCCATACGACCTAAAACAGCCATAGATGTGGTCTAAAGCATCTGACTTCTGCTCCTTACACTGGGTGAAATTTCGAGTCAGACTTTTAAACACAGATATGGATTATTATAACGGTCTCATTAAATGTCACAAAGAATTTTTCTCTTGGTTAAATTATCACATGACTCGGTTTCATTAATTTTTAAAAGAATATTTGACAAAATTTCAGAAATGATTATATAGTTTTAGTTGTTGTGACAATGGTTACGTAATGGTTACATATGACCTGGTAATATTAACATATGACCTGGTAATATTGGCGGTTGTTTCAGCTCACACCTGATATTGACAACAGATGTTTTGTTATGATTACAGAGCCAGTATGACTGGGGCCAAGTTGAACGGGGTGCCCTCGCTAAATGTTTGCTGACCTTGTGTCGGCAGCTCAAGGACACCCTGAGCAGTGAACCTAGGCTGATCAAATTAAAATCCCCGGTTTACATCCTTGGTAATTAAGACGATTTTTCAGCATAAACATTTGTACCTGTAGGTAAAGTTGCAAAATGGCCCAGCATTTTTATATTCAGTTGTCTGTTCCCAATGTTCAAGCTTTTCCAGGGCTGGTAATTCAAATTTGTGTATAGCTAAGGGGAGGTAACTCAAATTTGTGTAAAGTTAAGGGGAGGTCACTCACAGTAAGTTGGGTGATGTGTATGTCGCTCACTTCATTCAGTAAAGATATGTATGGAAGTAAATATATGTATAGAAAAAAAATCTGTATAGCAAATTCCAGAGGATACAAAATATCTAAGGTATAAGTAAGTTACTTATAGACATTTCAGCTTCTGAGACAAAACCTTGCCAGGGAGCTAAGTCTTCAAATATTGCAAGGTGAAGAAACCCTTCTAGGTTGCGTGTTCTAAAAATGACTGTTGTTGAAATTTGAGAATGCAAGGAAATAGAAATATTCTTTATTTGGTATCAGAACCAAACATACAATACATTAATTGCTCTTTGTTTAGGGGATATCCATGGAAACTATCGGGATCTGGTGTGTTTTGAGAAAGCACTGTGGAGGATGGGTCCTCTACTGACACCTGCCTCCTTCCTGTTCCTCGGGGACTATGTGGATCGGGGAGAGTTCGGCGTGGAGGTAAGGAACAAACATCGGGGTATGGCAGGATGTAGGTACAGAGAAAACACTAGAGTTATTCAGATCAGAGGGATAAACAATAGACTATTAGAGACGGTACAGTGTTGAAGTAGATGAAAAAAGCCTCAGAGTGACAAAGATCATGAGAGGTTCAGGTTAGGGGTCAAACACTTGGGGAATTCAGATCTAGGGAGTATGGCGATGAGATAGGAACAAACATCAGGGTGACTCCGATCAGAGAGTGCTGTGTGGAAGTATAGTCCAACAGGGTGACTCCAATCAGAGAGTGCTGAGTGGAAGTTTGGTCCAACAGGGTGACTCCAATCAGAGAGTGCTGAGTGGAAGTATGGTCCAACAGGGTGACTCCAATCAGAGAGTGCTGAGTGGAAGTATAGTCCAACAGGGTGACTCCAATCAGAGAGTGCTGAGTGGAAGTATGGTCCAACAGGGTGACTCCAATCAGAGAGTGCTGAGTGGAAGTATGGTCCAACAGGGTGACTCCAATCAGAGAGTGCTGTGTGGAAATAAAGTCCAACAGAGTGACTCCAATCAGAGAGTGCTGAGTGGAAGTTTGGTCCAACAGGGTGACTCCGATCAGAGAGTGCTGTGTGGAAGTAAAGTCCAACAGGGTGACTCCAATCAGAGAGTGCTGAGTTGAAGTTTGGTCCAACAGGGTGACTCCAATCAGAGAGTGCTGTGTGGAAGTATAGTCCAACAGGGTGACTCCAATCAGAGAGTGCTGAGTGGAAGTTTGGTCCAACAGGGTGACTCCAATCAGAGAGTGCTGTGTGGAAGTAAAGTCCAACAGGGTGACTCCAATCAGAGAGTGCTGAGTGGAAGTTTGGTCCAACAGGGTGACTCCAATCAGAGAGTGCTGTGTGGAAGTAAAGTCCAACAGGGTGACTCCAATCAGAGAGTGCTGAGTGGAAGTTTGGTCCAACAGGGTGACTCCAATCAGAGAGTGCTGTGTGGAAGTAAAGTCCAACAGGGTGACTCCAATCAGAGAGTGCTGAGTGGAAGTTTGGTCCAACAGGGTGACTCAAATCAGAGAGTGCTGAGTATAAGTTTGGTCCAACAGAGTGACTCCAATCAGAGAGTGCTGTGTGGAAGTAAAGTCCAACAGGGTGACACCAATCAGAGAGTGCTGTGTGGAAGTATGGTCCAACAGGGTGACTCCGATCAGAGAGTGCTGTGTGGAAATATAGTCCAACAGGGTGACTCCGATCAGAGAGTGCTGAGGGGAAGTATGGTCCAACAGAGTGACTCCGATCAGAGAGTGCAGAGTGGAAGTATGGTACACCAGGATGATTAAGATCTGAGAGTGCAGATTGGAAGAATGGTCCAACAGGGTTACTACCATCAGAGAGTGCTGCGTGGAAGTATGGTCCGACAGGGTGACTTCAATCAGAGAGCGCTGAGTGGTAGTTTGGTCCAACAGGGGGACTCCGATCAGAGAGCGCAGAGGGGAAGCATGGTCCAACAGGGTTACTCCAATCAGAGAGCGCTGAGGGGAAGTTTTGTCCAACAGGGTGACACCAATCAGAGAGTGCTAAGTGGAAGTATGGTCCCTCAGGGTGACTCCAATAAGAGAGTGCTGAGTGGCAGTCTAGTCCAACAGGGAGACTCCAATCAGAGCGTGCTGAGTGGAAGTTTAGTCCAACAGGGAGACTCCGATCAGAGAGTGCCGATTGGAAGGATGGTCCAACAGAGTGGCTCCGATCAGAGAGTGCAGTTTGGAACTATGGTCCAACAGGGGGACTCCGATCAGAGACTGCTGAGTAGAAGTATGGTCCAACTGGATGATTAAGATCAGAGAATGCAGATTGGAAGTATGGTCCAATAGGGTGACTCCAATCAGGGAGTGCTGTGTGGAAGGAGAGTGCTGAGTGGCAGTCTAGTCCAACAGGGAGACTCCGATCAGAGAGAGCAGAGTGGAAGTATGGCCCAATAGGGTGACTCCAATCAGAGTGTGCTGAGTGGAAGTTTAGTCCAACAGGGAGACTCCAATCAGAGCGTGCTGAGTGGAAGTTTAGTCCAACAGGGAGACTCCGATCAGAGAGAGCTGAGTGGAAGTTTAGTCCAACAGGGAGACTCCGATCAGAGACTGCTGAGTAGAAGTATGGTCCAACCGGGGGACTCCAATCAGAGAATGCTGAGTGGAAGTACGGTCCAACGGGTGACTCCAATCAGAAAGCGCTGAGTGGAAGTATGGCCCAACAGGGTGACTCAAATCAGGGAGTGCTGCGTGGAAGTATGGTCCACTGAGTGGAAGTATGGTACACCAGGATGATTAAGATCTGAGAGTGCAGATTGGAAGGATGGTCCAACAGGGTGACGCCAATCAGAGAGCGCTGAGGGGAAGTATGGCCCAACAGGGTGACTCAGATCAGAGAGTGCAGTGTGGAAGTATGGTCAAACAGGGTGACTCAAATCAGAGAGTGCTGCTTGGAAGTATAGTCCAACAGGGGGACTCCAATCAGAGAGGGCTGAGTGGAAGTTTTGTCCAACAGGGTGACTCCAATGAGAGAGTGCTGAGTGGCAGTCTAGTCCAACAGGGAGACTCCGATCAGAGACTGCTGAGTAGAAGTATGGTCCAACGGGTGACTCCAAGCAGAGAGTGCTGTGTTCATGATAGACAGGCATTCACTGAAGACATGTGTTTGTTATAGACATGTGTTCACTGAAGACAGGGGGTTGTGATAGACAGGTGTTCACTGAAGACAGGTGGTTGTGATAGACAGGCGTTCACTGAAGACAGGTGGTTGTGATAGACAGGAGTTCACTGAAGACATGTGGTTATTATAGACAGGTGTTCACTGAAGACAGGGGGTTGTGATAGACAGGTGTTCACTGAAGACAGGGGGTTGTGATAGACAGGCATTCACTGAAGACAGGGGGTTGTGATAGACAGGAGTTCACTGAAGACATGTGTTTGTTATAGACAGGTGTTCACTGAAGACAGGTGGTTGTGATAGACAGGTGTTCACTGAAGACAGGGGGTTGTGATATACAGGCGTTCACTGAAGACAGGTGGTTGTGATATACAGGCGTTCACTGAAGACAGGGGGTTGTGATAGACAGGCGTTCACTGAAGACAGGTGGTCACTATATGTGGACCTCATCCACATATAGTGACCACCTGTCTTCAGTGATAGACAGGCGTTCACTGAAGACAGGGGGTTGTGATATACAGGCGTTCACTGAAGACAGGTGGTTGTGATATACAGGCGTTCACTGAAGACAGGGGGTTGTGATAGACAGGCATTCACTGAAGACATGTGGTTATTATAGACAGGTGTTCACTGAAGACAGGTGGTCACTATATGTGGACCTCATCCACATATAGTGACCACCTGTCTTCAGTGAATGCCTGTCTATCACAACCCCCTGTCTTCAGTGAACGCCTGTCTATAATAACCACATGTCTTCAGTGAACTCCTGTCTATCACAACCCCCTGTCTTCAGTGAATGCCTGTCTATCATGAACACAGCACTCTCTGTTTGGAGTCACCATGTTGGCCCAACCTTCCACTCAGCACTATCTGATTGGAGTCACACTGTTGGACCATACTCCCCCTCAGCTCTCTCTGATTGGAGTGTGGTCCAACAGGGTTACTCCAATCAGAGAGCGCTGAGTGGAAGTATGGCCCAACAGGGTGACTCCAATCAGTGAGTGCTGAGTGGAAGAATGGTCCAACAGGGTTACTCCAATCAGAGAGTGGTGTGTGGAAATATAGTCCAACAGGGAGACTCCAATCAGAGAGGGCTGAGGGGAAGTATGGTCCAACAAGGGTGACTCCGATCTGGTCCAACAGGGTGAATCCAATCAGAGAGTGGTGTGTGGAAATATAGTACATCAGGGTGACTCCGATCATAGAGTGCTGAGGGGAAGCATGGTCCAACAGGGTTACTACCATCAGAGAGTGCTGATCATTTGAAGTATGGTCCAACGGGTGACTCCAACCAGAGAGTGCTGCGTGGAAGTTTGGTCCAACACGGTGACTCAAATCAGGGAGTGCTGTGTGGAAGCATGGTCCAACAGGGTTACTCCAATCAGAGAGGGCTGAGTGGTAGAGTGATCCAACAGGGTGACTACAATCAGGGAGTGCTGCGTGGAAGTATGGTCCACTGAGTGGAAGTATGGGCCAACAGGGGGACTCCAATCAGAGAGTGATGAGGGGAAGAATGGTCCAACAGGGTTACTACCATCAGAGAGTGCAGATTGGAAGGATGGTCCAACAGAGTGGCTCCGATCAGAGAGTGCTGACTGGAAGCTTGGTCCAACAGGATGGCCTCAATCAGGGAGTGCTGCGTGGAAGTTTGGTCCAACACGGTGACTCAAATCAGAGAGTGCTGAGTGGAAGTATGGTCCAACAGGGTGACTTTGATCAGAGAGTGATGAGTGGAAGTATGGTCCAACAGGGTGACTCCGATCAGAGAGTGCAGAGCGGAAGTATGGTCCAACTGGATGATTAAGATCAGAGAGTGCAGATTGGAAGTATGGTCCAACAGGATGACTCCGATCAGAGAGTGCTGAGTGGAAGTATGGTCCAACAAGGTGACTCCGATCAGAGAGTGCAGAGTGGAAGTATGGTCCAACTGGATGATTAAGATCAGAGAGTGCAGATTGGAAGTATGGTCCAACAGGATGATTAAGAGCAGAGAGTGCAGATTGGAAGTATGGTCCAACAGGGTGACTCCGATCAGAGAGTGCTGAGTGGACGTATGGTCCAACAGGATGATTCAGATCAGAAAGTGCTGATCAGTGAAAGTATGGTCCAACAGGATGATTCAGATGATAGAGTGCTGATCAGTGAAAGTATGGTCCAACAGGATGATTCAGATCAGAAAGTGCTGATCAGTGAAAGTATGGTCCAACAGGATGATTCAGATCAGAGAGTGCTGATCAATGGAAGTATGGTCCAACAGGATGATTCAGATGATAGAGTGCTGATCAGTGAAAGTATGGTCCAACAGGATGATTCAGATCAGAAAGTGCTGATCAGTGAAAGTATGGTCCAACAGGATGATTCAGATGAGAAAGTGCTGATCAGTGAAAGTATGGTCCAACAGGATGATTCAGATCAGAGAGTGCTGATCAGTGGAAGTATGGCCCAACAGAATGATTCAGATCAGAGAGTGCTGATCAGTGGAAGTATGGTCCAACATGATGATTCAGATCAGAGAGTGCTGATCAGTGAAAGTATGGTCCAACAGGATGATTCAGATCAGAAGACATACAAAGTAGAGGTTAAGGGCAAACATTTTGATGACTCGGACTGGAGTATTTTGGTACAATGTTTAAAAAATAAAAAGGTTATAACGACTATTTCTGTATCTTATAGGAAGTACATAAGTAAGCCAAGGTAAATTTTGACCTAAAAATCATTCATGGATACATTTTAATAGCAGTTTTAATATTTTTAAACCTTTTCATTAATTATTATTTTTAAACCTTTTCATTCATTCACACTTTTCTGGTCACAAACTCCCTGAGTGTGAACTCCTGTTGGTTATACTAATATTCATAATTTTAGCTGTTGCCTCTAGTTTTTTGTATCTTTACATTATTTTACATCATATGTAGATTGAACCAGAACTAAGTTGTCTGGAACATCTGGAATGAGGAGAAAAGATGTTCATTTTAATAAACGCTACTTTGTGGATGACATTTTTTTCATTATTTTTTGTTTTTGTTTATTTTGTAGGTTGTATCATATCTGTTTGCCCAGAAGTTACTGGCACCTGGCAAGTTTTACTTGTTGAGAGGAAACCATGAACTCCGAAGTGTACAGGAAATGTTTTCGTTTAAATCGTATGTATCTTGGACCTTGACCTATTTATAGACAATTAGACCTTTATTCTTACTATGTGGCATTTTGATCACAAAAGGATTTTTTCCAAACAGTGATGTCTTACTTTGGTTTCTGAAGAAAGAAGTAACCGATATGATAAGTATTAATACCAAACTTTGTAGACTTTCTTTATTCAAGTTTGATGAAATAGTAACAGGCTTTATTGTTAAACAAAGGTCAAAGCCAAGCCCGATATTCATAAGGATGAAGGGGACAATTCTGTTTGTGTTTTAGGGAATGTCTGTCTAAATTTGGGGACACCATCGGCCTACAGATTTGGGAGGCGGTAAACGATTGTTTTGATGTGATGCCTATTGCCGCCACTGTTGATGACCGGGTAAGTGGACTAAGTCACAGACACACTGAGTGTTAACTGCAGTCCTACATATGAGTTAGGTAAGAAGTACTACATGGTGTTCACATTACACCAGGTCAAACCTTGGTTTATGTTCTTGTTACAAGTTTGTTTGGTAGAACTTTTGCACTAAACCTTTAATTAGTCTATGGTTCTAAATAGCCCTCTATCAGAATGACAACTTCTTAGGGCTTATGTTGTACTTTGTTTTACAGGTGATATATATAGAAGATAGGAAGTGGTTTCATTTTAACTATTATAGATGTTTTCTTAAGTGTAAAAAAATACTTCATTTATTTTGCTTTGCCTGGTGGAACTCTAGTTTTGCTGTTTCTGTGTACAAAATTGCACTTTTATTTAATTTGTGTTTTCCTGGTAAAAATGTATTTATATAATACTGTATGTTGAAGGTGTTCTGTGTACACGGAGGGATCCCTAGCAATGACAATGACGGAGGATTTATCGAGAAGATCAACAAAGTTCCTGTACCGTTGAAGGACCCGGAGATCGACAGTCCCCTGGCCTGGGAGATCCTGTGGAGTGATCCCGTCAGGTAGGTTACCTCAGGGTATGAGTGTAGAGCACCCGAGGGACAGGGAGAGTAAGGTGACACCTGAGGTCAGGTACACAACCTAGGACTGGAGATCGGTGCAGGTAGGTTACCTCAGAGTTCGAGTGTAGAGCACCCGAGGGACAGGGAGAGGAAGGTGACACCTGGGGTCAGGTAAACAACCTAGGACTGGAGATCGGGACAGGTAGGTTACCTCAGGGTATGAGTGTAGAGCCCCCGAGGGACAGGGAGAGTAAGGTGACACCTGGGGGCAGGTAAACAACCTAGGACTGGAGATCGGTACCGGTTGGTTACCTCAGGGCACCCAAGGGACAGGGAGAGTAAGGTGTCACCTGGGTTCAGGTAAACAACCTAGGACTGGAGATCGGTACCGGTTGGTTACCTCAGGGTACCCAAGGGACAGGGAGAGGAAGGTGACACCTGGGGTCAGGTAAACAACCTAGGACTGGAGATCGGTACAGGTAGGTTACCTCAGAGTTCGAGTGTAGAGCACCTGAGGGACAGGGAGAGTAAGGTGACACCTGGGGTCAGGTAAACAACCTAGGACTGGAGATCGGTACCGGTTGGTTACCTCAGGGTACCCAAGGGACAGGGAGAGTAAGGTGTCACCTGGGTTGAGGTAAACAACCTAGGACTGGAGATCGGTACAGGTAGGTTACCTCAGAGTTCTAGTGTAGAGCACCCGAGGGACAGAGAGAGTAAGGTGACACCTGGGGTCAGGTACACAACCTAGGACTGGAGATCAGTACAGGTAGGTTACCTCAGGGTTCGAGTGTAGAGCACCCATGGGACACGGAGAGTAAGGTGACACCTGGGGTCAGGTACACAACCTAGGACTGGAGATCGATACAGGTAGGTTACCTCAGGGTATGAGTGTAGTGCACCCGAGGGACAGGGAGAGTAAGGTGACACCTGGGGTCAGGTAAACAACCTAGGACTGGAGATCAGTACAGGTAGGTTACCTCAGGGGTCGAGTGTAGAGCACCCATGGGACACGGAGAGTGAGGTGACACCTGGGGTCAGGTACACAACCTAGGACTGGAGATTGGTACAGGTAGGTTACCTCAGGGTACGAGTGTAGAGCACCCGAAGGACAGGGAGAGTGAGGTGACACCTGGGGTCGGTTACACAACCTAGGACTGGAGATTGGTAGAGGTAGGTTACCTCAGGGTACCCAAGGGACAGGGAGAGTAAGGTGTCCCCTGGGTTGAGGTAAACAACCTAGGACTGGAGATCGGTACAGGTAGGTTACCTCAGGTTATGAGTGTAGAGCACCCGAGGGACAGGGAGAGTAAGGTGACACCTGGGGTCAGGTTCACAACCTAGGTCCTTTTCCAGACATACAAGATCATAGAGGCTACATTGTCTTGGCAGAATTTTAACTTGAATGCTAGTCGCATAGACTTTATAAGTAGAATTTCAGGAAGTAAAAATGTTTTAGTCCAGTTTCGTAATCCAAGATATCGGGCAGTCATTGCTGGAACATTGAAATCAATCATGATAAAACTGAGGATGTCATGTAAGCTTAAACTACTGTTCTTAACTTAAAGGGTTAGAAGTTAAATATGGTCATGTGTGATCAAGTGTAATTGACCTTGTTATTGATTCTGTATAAACCTATTGAGAATCTATTTACATGGTCTATGTCTAGTTCAAAATACTCCCCAAATGACCTCTAAGAGGCTCTGTGCAATGACCTGATCACCCATGTGACCTCTGTGTTACAACCTGATGACCTTTTCCCTTTGTGTTACAGTAATGACTTGTTGACCCCAGAGACCATAAAGGACTTACAGGATCACGACGGCTTTATCTACAACACACGGCGTGGTACCGCCCATTTCTTCTCCTGTGATGCCCTGCTTGGCTTTCTCGAGCGAAACAATCTGTCACATGTGATCCGTGCCCATGAGGTACAAGAGAACGGATTCCAGGTAAGTAAGGTTCAGATGTTTTACACGCAAAGGAAGCTCCTTGTAGTAGGGGCCTCGGTGGCCAAGTGGTTAAGGCGTCTGACATTCTGCTACCATTATCCCTCCACCACTGGGTCGCGGGTTCAAGGCCTACGTTGGGCAGTCGCCAGGTACTGGCTGTAGGGACTGGGTGGTGGTTTTTCTCCGGGAACTCTGGCTTTCCTCCACCACCAAAACCTGGCACGTCCTTAAATGACCATATATAGCTGTTAATTGTAATAGGACAAAAAAACAAACAAACCAAAAAAACACCAAAAAACTTCTTCTTAATGAATACTGTTTAAGAAGAAATTGATACAGTGTGAAAATGACTGTCATTTTGTTTTTAGTCAAAATAATGTGAAATATTCACAAAAGAAATGAAAGGATACATAAATTATAAACCAAAACATTTTCAGAGAAGTTGTGAATATAAAAAATGTCCACACCCTGTGTGGTTTGAAGAGTCACAACACGAACACTCCAGATGCAAGAATTTCCACTTTCACAGTATTTGATATATATAGCTAGGAAAACTTGATTTTTAATGAAAATCTTAAGTATTTCAGACACAAATTTTTGTGTCAAATGAAGATTGATTCATTCAGTTGATATTATTGTACTTTTCTGAACTTTGGGGAAGGTAACTTTTTGTTAATAATTCAATGTTGCAATATGCTGATTTTGCTGTTAAACGCGACTATTTCTGATAGCCACTTCATTTTTATGTTTCCCATTGTCACAATGGAAATAAATACATGACAAAGTTTTATCTCATTTCTGTGCGTGTATGACAGAACTGTCCAAATTTCTGTGCATAACGTCGCAATCGTACAACAATGATATGACCCCACGAAATTGGGAACATTCAGATGCCACATTGTGGAAATTGTGATGTGTGTTTTTGTGATTTCTTACTTTATGTGGTAATTGGAATAAGAGAAAAGGTTTTACCTGATTTGAAAATCCTTGAGCATGAAAGAATCTAAATATCAGCACCATTTGATGTTCAATGTTGCTATAAAGATTCTCTAATCAATCAATGCTTTGTGCTTTATCTATTAACAGGTCCAGCAGAAGGGGAAGTTACTCACAGTGTTCTCTTCATCTCACTACTGTGGGGGGTCTAACGAGGCCGCCTGTGTCCTCGCTGACAACTTCAAGCTTCGCATGATTCGCATCGATACCACTTGATGCTCCAGACACCCCACGTCAGGACGTACATACAACTTAATCCTGTGGGTACTCTTGGAATGATGTGTACAATCTAGACTTGATGAAATATCTCATTAAAGTCCTTGTGGAGAAATTTTTTGTGAAGCAGCAGGAATGTGTGCTGAAGTTTGTCGTTGTAACATGCTTGGAAACAACACATGGGTGTACAATTCTTAACTTGAAGTTTGTTTTCTGGAAATTCTTTGAAATGTCAAATGAATATATGTTGAAGGTTTTTGTTGGATGAGGTCTTGCTCGGGTTGATATACAAAATGTACACAATGGATCCCTGGAGCCATGTAGAAGTTAAACCAACCACATTCATTTCAGATTTCTAATCCAACCATCTTTACTTAATCAAGCTTTATTCTCAGTAGATAATCAAACGAACTGTTGTTCCCAGCAGTGGGAGGCAGATAGTAGGATATTTGTATGATGGTAGTGGCCGGATAGTGGAACTATCAGTGAGAGTGGTGATGGCTGGGTTAAAGAGGATGCTGAGTCAGCAGTAAGCTGAGAGAGGCCAGGTACGCTTGTGTTACCCCTGTGCTGAGATAGTGCTACTCGAGAACAGTATCCAAGGAACTGAGATATTATATAGAACCAGTGATATTGACACTCTGACAGAAATAACTTGTTCATTCATTTGAGAAGCATTAAACAGTATTAAATATTTTCATTGAACAAAAATTAGCAGCCAGATTTTATTTTCAGTTGTCATGTAATAAGTACAAATGAGACCAGAACAGTTTACTTAGGAGCCATGTTAGATCAGTTACTGATTCAGACTGTCTCAAACTTTCAAATAAATTTCATATCATTTCATGTTGCTAATGGTACATTTGTACTTTGCCAAAATTAATTTTGCTGTCGGTACTTGTGTTAAATGTTTTCTCTTTGATCCTATGGAAAGTGTGGAAAGAAGTCAGCAAGTTTCAATAAAAGACAGTTTGAGCACCAAACATAAGTTTGGGTATGAGAATAATTTGATGAATCATTGGAATATGAAATTTCAAAAATGTGTCCAAGAGATGGTTTTTACAAGGCTTAATCTTTCCCTCCAAAATCGTCCCTTGTTAATCCGGGTTGTTTGCTTATAGCAGAGTAGTACATCAAAATTCTACTAATTTCATCTTGAGTATTGTGATTTAAAGACTTTTGTTATTGTTGTTGACGAAAAAAATGAACAGTTTTTTGCTTGTTTTAAATGTTGATGTATTATATAATGTTATGTAAAAGTAGGACTGTATAAGCTTAAATCTCTCCATTCCTCATTCTACGGTGTAGGGTCTGACATCACGGGAAGTTCTTGTGACCTTTAAATCAGTGTGATGTCCTCCAAATTCTCATTGCAGGAAAGTTTGTATAAAGACTTTGTCACACGATCATGACGTCTGATGCGGTCGTGTCCTTGTAGGGTTTCGTACAGAAATGACTGAGGGATTGAGTTTGAATCAAGCTGAATTATGTTGTTAGGCTTAAAATATTGTTTGTTTTTCCGCGATCACATATAAGTACAGTTGGGTACAGCTAGTTGACATTGTTATAGATAATTAGAGTAGAGGTGATTGTTTTTGTCTATGATGAGGGTTACAGTAACTGAGTCATCATCAGATTTGGTTTCACTCCTGGTACACATAGCTTCTCCATGCCCCTGAAATGTATGTCACGACAAAATCAAAGACAGTCCATGAGCTATTTAATTGCTTTCAGGTATAAGAAACCGACCAATCGCTTGGCTGATAACTGTCTTTAGAGATTACAGTGGGACAAAGCCTCAATTCCAAGCCAGTCCATTTTACCATTCTGCTGCCATGTCATTCTTTTGGTGTACATCACAGGATCAAAAGTGTCCTCTTATGTAAAGGTAGCCCCTATAGAGACTTAGATTTTGTCATGACATTTCAAGGGCGTAGGCAAGATAATTGTATAAAGAGTGATTTTGAAGTTGTAACTGTGTAAGTAGGTCAAGGACCTAAAATGTTATTTTAGACGTCATATAACGTGTATATTTATCATCAGATTGACGGAGTCGCGAAATTCATCACAGAAAAACAAAGTGACAACGAATAAAACACAAATTTGCTGTGAGTGCAAAGTGCAAAGTCTTTCTTATTCATTAATGTAATGGCAATACAAGCGATATTAAGTCTATATTGTGTGAGTGATATTTCGTCTACATTTTATGCGTCACATTTTCTGCGTCATATACAGTGAAGCATAAAGCACTATTTCACTAAGTTCAACACCACAACTTTCCCTTTTGTTAAAAACTTACTTCCTCATGTTGACTACTAACATATTGTCGTGTGATTTTAAACTCTATAATTTTTTTCCAGGAACAAAACCAGGTAACTTTTGAGCCTGAGAAAGTTTGACATAGAAATTATACAATATACAGTAATTGTTTACTTTTTGGAGGAACTAACTCAATCAGCAACTAATATTTAAAACTGGAAACAGTGATTTTTAAACATTTTCAGTGATTAGATATATAAGCAGTGGAAATGCCGGAGATTTCAAAATCTACTGTAATCTGTGTATATCGTGAAGGTCATTCTTAGGTTGGTCTCTATGAACGCAGCTGACTTGGCAGTTATTTATCGGTAGTACAGTTAATATACAATTTGGTGATTTTACTTACTGAATTGAACACTGGGCATATTTGTCTTGAAAGATATAAAGTTAGTGTGGTGAAAACATTACATTTACTTAAAGGTATGAAAATTATGTACTTTTTTTCATAGAAATTTATTTAATTACTAAGAAAAAGGTTATTAAAATTTCTGCCATGGCAATATCGAAATAAATATAACAACAATACCTTTATTGGCATAAAGATATGTATTATAGTCATACTAGGTAACTCGGGGTCAAAGGTCATGTGTATAAATAAGTGCGAGATTGTCGGGTAAGATGCTTTGTTTGGTGTACAAATGTATCAAAGTTGGTTGATTACAGAACAAACTAATTATATATATAGTTTGATGCTTAAGTCCAAGGTTATAGTCATGAAGATAGGAATGTAACATACCAGTGACTGTCAGAGTGATATTATGTTATACATGTAGTCATGAAGATAGGAATGTAACATACCAGTGACTGTCGGAGGAGTGATATTATGTTAAGAGGGATCTGCCAACTGTAAATATAGTAAAGTTTTATTACGAAAGTCTCTAGCTGTTCATTCCGTTTTTTCACACATGTGTTATATCAGGGTTAATGTGTGGTTCATAGTGTGTGAACAGAATCTTTTTTGTGCTGCCGCTTTCTGCTCTCAAAACATTAGCTAACGGAGGCAAAGGTTTATATTTTGTAAAATATTTTTTTACCATCATAATATGGAGATAGCATATGTGACAGACCTTGGGAGTATTTTGGGTAGCCTTATCTCTAAAAGTCGTAACGGTTTGTGATAAAACGGTCAGGGGTATGTGGTTCATGTACATTGTGTTAAGTTTAAGACAAGTCATCATGTGTTTTCATAAATGAGGTCAAATGACAGCCATATGGAGATATTAATCATCATAAACTGTGTATATCATTGATATAAATACTTATGGTGATCATACAAATGTACAGTTCCTATTTCATTAATTTTAATATCATTGAGTGATCATACAGTTCATGTTTCATTAAGTTTGATATTATAAAATGGTCATCACACAATTCATAATTCATCAATATAAAGATTAATTGTCATGGTACAATTAATATTTTAACAAAATTTTTGAGTAAAACTATTTTTGTATTTATAAGTGTATTAATATACAATTGTATAAAAGTGTTTAGACCTACTGTGCAATTTTTATCCAAGATGCAAAAAATAAAAAATAAAAAAAATGGTACCTTAATCATTTTGATAATTCAATCATGAAATTTGTCTCTTTTGAATATTTCTTTAATTTCTTTTAAAAAACCCGTTTGTTGTATCACATTTGAAAAAAACCCAGACTTGCCTTCCATTCTCCTGAAATATTCCGGTTTCAAGTATAAACACAATTTGTTGGTAGTATATACTGATGCGATTTGGCGGGAAAATTTATCTAAGTTTGAAAACAGATATGTTGATATAAAGGTTTGGATATAGTTAACGTTGTTCCTGTTGCATTTACAAAATCTAAATCAGTGCTTGCAAACATGAGCTCAGCCTCTACTAATTTGCCTAAACAACCATATTTATGTGAAGTTTACTTTTTGAACTCTAGTCTACATTGGCCAGTCACGTTAGGACGGCTGAAATATACAAACAGCAGTCAAAACAGCGAATTCATTTTCCATCGATGGAGCCTGGAGCTGTGTTGGATCGACCCAAGCATCTCTCTCCTATCGTTGATACAGTGTGTAGTACTACAGTCATAAAACATCAAACATGAGTTATAATCATTAACAATGTTAGGTTTGGTATTCTAACTTAGAAGACTTTATGGAGAGACAACCATTGGGCAAACAGGATTTTGGGGTAAAATGACCAGTTGCATACTGAACCGTGTCTGGTCAGAGACGTATATATACAACATGGCTTTATATGTCTCTGGTCTGGTGCCCAACTACACACAGAGTTGAGGCCTTTGTTTATTTTCGTACTCAAGATTGAATTATTTGCAATGTGAGTTCCTATAGAGGATTTCTTTGTGTTTTAAATGTTTTAACTCAAAACCAGCCTGTTAAAGAACGTTTCCTGAATATTAAAATGTGTTGGCTCTGATGTACAATGATTATACACCAAAGATGTGTTGGTCGGCAGTCATTTTGTATAAAATGTGATCTATATCAGTTCTATCTTCTTTGTTCTTTGTTTTGTGATTGACGAGCAGGTTAGAGAACGAAACGTGTGAGTAGTCTTTAGTGGGGATACAAATATCACTGATTAGAGTGAATCGCACTGTGGGCAAAGTCCTATTATTGTTCCAGAAGCACATTCTTTTAGTAGTCTCTTTATAGAGATACCCCTGTACAACATGTTACACCAAGCCGTGAGTTACTTCGTCATACTTGTCTCACACAGATGTACATGTGGTGGGTAGGACATGCCTGAACACGTAATAGCAGTGCCTCATCATGGCCACTCAATCGCTCAATGGGTGGGTGGGGCAGAGAGCGAAAGTGAGCGTAACGCCTTGATATCGAGGATGCAGCGGGATGCAATGTAAACAAACCGGTCCTTTTCTTCACACCAATCAATGGGAGAGCCATTGATCCCACATTTATCACAGACGAACTTTGTATTGTATTCCGATTACCTCTGGAAAATCTATTCAATATGTAACGGTAACAACTTAGATAGCATCTTAATCCGTGGTAAAAGTAATACAGTTTATTCTGATCCTTTAACAATAACATCATTGGTTTTCCCCTGTAGGCAATGATAGTGGGATATCGTGAACCCCGAAAAGGTCTGTAGAGTGTAGCGATGCCAGAGTTTTCGGTGCATATTTATTGTTTTTGTGAATTATAAAAGAATCCTTAATATATCATTTGGATTCGTACGACGCGATATAAATAATTAGGTTATTGGTTTTTAGCTCACCTGCCCGAAGGGGAAGTAAGCTTATGTTGTGGTGCAGCGTCGGTCGTCCGTCCGACGTCAACTTTTTACTTTAAACAACTTCTTCTCAATAACCTAAAGGCCCAGGGTACTGATATTAGGCCTGCATCATGCTGGGGTGAAGGGCTACAAAGTTTGTTCAAATAAATGACCTTGACCCACTTTCAAGGTCACAGGGGTCAAATATGTTAAAATCTTCAAACAACTTCTTCTCAATAACCAAAAGGCCCAGGGAACTTATATTGGGCCTGTAGCATGCTGGGATGAAGTGCTACCAAGTTTGTTCAAAGGAATGACCTTGACCCACTTTCAAGGTCACTGGAGTCAGATGTCTTAAAATCTTCAAACAACTTCTTCTCAATAACCAAAAGGCCAAGGGTACTTATATTGGGCCTGTAGCATGCTGGGATGAAGGGCTACCAAGTTTGTTCAAATGAATGACCTTGACCCACATTCAAGGTCACTGGGGTCAGATGTCTTAACATCTTCAAACGACTTCTCCTCAATAACCAAAAGGCCCATGGTACTGATATTGAACCTTTAGCATGCTGGGATGAAGGGTTACCAAGTTTGATAAAATGAACGATCTTGACCAACTTTCAAGGTCAAAGGGGTCAAATGTCTTAAAATCTTCAAACAACTTCTCAATAACTAAAATGCCAAGGGTACTGATATTGGGCCTGTAGCATGCTGGAATGAAGGGCTACCAAGTTTGTTAAAATATTTGACCTTGACCAACTTTCAAGGTCACCTGGGTCAGATGTCTTAAAATCTTCAAATGCCTTCTCAATAACCAAAACGCCCAGGGTACTGATATTGAGCCTGTAGTATGCTGGGATGAAGGATTACCAACTTTGTTCAAATGAATGACCTTGACCAGCTTTCAAGGTCACAGGGGTCAAATGTTTTAAAATCTTCAAACAACTTCTCAATAACCTAAAGGCCCAGGGTACTGAAATTAGGCCTGTAGCATGCATGGGTGAAGGACTACCAACAAGTTTGTTCAAATGAATGACCTTGATCCACTTTCAACCTGATGTCCTTGTTCGACATTCAAGGTCACAGGCGTCATATGTTTAAATCTTTTAATAGGTTCTTATGAATCAAACACTGATATTCTGCCTGTAGCTGTATTTTAGTCCACTTTTAAGATTACAAGTGTGAGATTAATACCAGGTGAGCGATGCAGGCCCATTGGGCCTCTTGTTTTTCATAATATTATAAATATATTATTTTGAATACTATTTTCGTTTTGGCGAAACATTTAGTGTGTGATGTTTGAAATCTACCATTGACTTTGTTAAACACTCTTTGTCTGATAATAAGGTTACCTCCCCTCAAACGCAAGTCGAGGATGCGATAAATGACTACTGGATATGAAATTTGTCTAAAACATTACAAGTCGGAAAATGTATGATTCATTATTTAAAATAATCTAGCTATACAAATGTAAATGAAAAAATGTGAAAAAATCAAACAGAACTGTTTTGTTGCGTCATTACACGGGTGGAAACGAACTCCGGACCATTCATCTCGGTAACACATAGGTGTTACAGACAAGTTTGCTATGTAGTGTCGGGGACCGCCTGATAAATCAGCGGAGACATGCACTTATATAGTCAGGTTTGTTTATAACAGGATGTTTTGTAAACAATCTATAACTATAACACCGAAGTATTTATGTAATTAACATCCCGGAGTGAAAACGATACCGCGATAGGATTCCGTGTTCCGGCGTTTGTACACCCAGATTTTCTGTCACTTAGTTCGTGTTGTATTACTCATTAGTAAACCATCGGGTGACAGGAATAACCCGGGTAGCACACTAAATCATTAACAAGGCGGAAAGCTTACACCATACCGGGTGGAGTCACGGTGGATGTCATTAATACTTCATTAAATACATTCCAGAATATTTTAGAAATTGTAAGCATGCCGAATGGTTGAGTGTCGCCTTTTAATTACAATCATCGTATACATGTTGACATGTTCCCGGGGGAATTTAGGGTAGTCACAGTTCTATCACGTTTATAACGATAGGGTCTGTCATTTGATTTGATTTGTTTCCTTTGTTGCAATTGTCTCTCCGCATGAACGTTGAGTCCCAAATTTGTCAATATTAGTTTTGGTTAACCTTCTAAGTTTAATTTCAATTAACAGTTAAGTTGCTTTATCAGTATAGGTCCATGTTTGCCTGAACTTACGGTTGAAAAAATGCGAAATATTTAAATCCGTATTGTATTGTAAAGTTATAAACTCGCTTAAATATATCAATTATATTTTTTCAGCGTGTTTGAATCTCTTTACTCGTACCACGCTAGAACGTATTTGACTATGATGAATTATAGTTAAAGATCATTTGTTGAGCTTATGGTATGGTGTGTTGTCCGTCTTCCGTCGTCCGTCAACTGTTCCTTTAAATGACTTCTCCTTAAGAACTGGAGGACCTAGAAAAATGGTATTTAACCAGTAGGTACCTTGGACAAAGTGCTATAAAATTTCCTCAAATAAATGACCTTGACCTATTTTCAAGGTCACGGGTGTTAGATATATAAAAACCTTTAAACAACTTCTTCTGAATAACCAAGAGGCCAGAGTTATAATACTTGGCCGTAGGTACCTGGCATAAAGTGCTATAATGTTTCCTCAAATAAATGTCCTTGACCTATTTTCAAGGTCACAGAAGTCAAATGTGTTAAAAAAACCTTTAAACATCTCCTAAATAACCTACTTTCAATGCCACATTAGTTAAATATGTAAAACCCTAAAAAAAACCGAGGAGACTCAATGTATGGAAATCTCTGGGCTTCTTGTTGATTTTAACAATTCGGAAATAAGCCAGAGACGCGTCGAAGAGTGGAACATGATAACCTTTTTTACGCTGTGTTTTTTTCACCAGTCGCGGAGATGAACCAATTGAGGCTCACAAGCATACAGACTGCTCCGTGTCCGCGAGTCTGGCTCTCGCTCCGCCTCCACGAGAGTTCAGTAATCTCACTCCGCCTCCACGAGAGTTCAGTAATCCGTGAACCGTGTCGTGTTATCTGGTCGTTAATTATTTTAGCACGTGATTTACGATGTGTCTGTGGTTTCTCAAGTCAGCCAGAACTGCAGGTAGCTGAAAAACAGAAGATCATACCTTTCATGTTTTAAACATGGTCTAAAAAAAAAAAATCATTCATTCCCCCACGAAGTGATCACATGTACATAAATCAAAGGCTTTTTGAACAGACTTACACGTTTCAAATTAAACACTTTGTAACCACTTGATGTGTATCTGAACAGTTGCTGATTTGAAAAT